GAAGAGGTTCAGAGGGTTCCTTACCTCTAGAAGAAGACCTTTGAGAAAGAGAACCTCTGGTTCTAGAAGAAGGACTAGAACTAGATGAAGGAAGAGAAGAACCACGTATGGATGAAGACCCTAAATTATGCAGTCTGCCTCCTCTTCTACTTCTACTAGGGGCAGGAGAAAAATTATCAACAATGGAGGCTTGCCTAGGGTTAGGGTTTGATGAAGACATGATAGTACGAGGAAGAAGCAAACAAGAATTGAATATTCTGAGAACTTTATGAGAGAAAGACAAAAGTGAAAACTATATTTATACTCAGAAGAAACCGCCCAAGGAAAAATTATAATAATGAAAACGTCATGATGAGAACTGACATTTCGTAATTGGTGTAGCCGTAAAAAAGCCTTGAAAAATGCTGAAAGGTCGCAGAATCAACCAAAAGGTGCCACGTGTAATGGGCATTAAATAGAAGTGACAAGTGAAGTCGATAGTTCCAGAGAAAAACTGATGGCGACAAATATTCATGCTTTAATAAAATTCACTTCCCAAATATTCAATTGATGAATAAATGGCAAGTGGGGGGGGGGGGGGGACTATCTGTATTGGGAAAAATTGAGTTTATATATATTGAAGTGATTGAAAGATGACGTGTCATGACACGAAGGCTGGTCAAAGAATGATGGTTAGCAAAGAGGTACGAGTTGCAACAGATACGAGCAGAGGCATAAACAGAGGCACGAGCAAATATTCAAAAGGCTCAACGCTCGTACCTATTTAAATCCAAAAATTAAGGAGAATGAATCTGACAGCACAGAAGAGTACAGATACGGTATTTAATAAACATTAAATATCGGAAACGTTAGAGAATCTGTATTAAATTACAATGATTATGTAACGTAGCATTTAATGCCTTTAATTGTCTATAATGACCTTATTATGACAAAGGAAAAACGTATATCTTAGAGATAGCTATAAAAAGGAGGAGACTGGTCATTTGTAACGACACAACACACTATTGGAATATATTGATTTATTTTGCTTTCATATGTTCATCTTATAATTAGCAAAATCAATTTCTATTATTCATTTCTTTGATTACCCGTAACCCGAGTTCTTCTAAAATACAGCTTTGACCGAAATTTCACTTTTTGGTTAAACATAGACGTTGCAGTAATCAGTCGAACACCCATTTGACCTATATTCGACGCAGTTTTGGTTGTGAGACCCCATAATGTATAAGCTATAACAACAACATTAATAAACCTAGTGTAATTTCACAAGTGGAGTATGGAAAAGGTAATATATACGCGTCCTTATCCTATCTTTGTAAAGGTAGAGAGCTTGAAACTGATAGACCCTTGACTCTTATTATATATATATATTGCAAGCAGTAAAGAAGAAATTAAACGAGTCATTTTGGCCAGGGGGGAGACAGAGATTAGTATATTTCTTCAAGTCTAAATTTTCCAAGAACTAACTGGTAGAAAGGTCATTTCTCAAAAAAAAAAAAAAAAAAAAAAAAAAAAGGAGCGCAGAGATATGGAAGTGAAGTTTTGCTCAATGGATTAGGAGCTTATTTTACTTAAAAAAGTGGTACCGTATCAAAGGTTAAAACGTCATTGATTTTGGTGAAACTTTTTCTTTACAATCTATATGCCAAGTAAATTTTACCTAAAAATATACGCACATTAATATTTTAGAACACTTCCGAATTAGAACAAGATTCGAAAACATGTGTAAGCTAAATAATACGGCCATTCACTTATATTTTTACTCTGCATCTTCAGCCGAGGGATAAATACATAATTTTCCCCTTAGACTAGTCCTATTTTTTTCAACAGAACATCAAAATTTTGCGGGGTCCTATCACCCCCTATAGATGTAGAATACCACCTTTTGAGCTTCCTTCTGTACCGGTTTATACTTTTCGTCATTGAGATTCAACATTTTATTTTTAACAGGCAGAATAGCCTAGGTTTATACTTTTCGTCATTGAGATTCAACATTTTATTTTTAACAGGCAGAATAGCCTAGGAAACACTTGTACTTGTTCCGGTTTGATATCCCGGTCCTTGTACTTCACAAAGTTTCATCCAGACACCTCTATTCGATCAAAACTAGTATTTTGAACGCTTCTGACCATTGGCCAAGCTTATGTGGCATTGAATCTGCTGAGTTGGACGAAATGTGTGAAATGCACGCGTGTAAAGCGAGTGTAAACAACGAATTTGATTTTTAAAAAAAAGATTAAATAAAAGAAAATTTAAAAAAAAAGGAAAAAAAAAGTTAAAAAATTGTTACTTTATTATTAAAAAGTTCCCCTCCCTTTCATGTTTCTTCTTCCCCAAATCCAGCAACCTTCTTTGCTAACCCATCCCCCCTTCGTATACTCTTCTTCTTCCCCCTACATACTTGCCTTCCATATACTGATCAGTCCCAAGATTCACCTCTTCAATATCGCAAACAAATTGTCTTTCACCTCTGATTTTTGCTTCTATTTTGTTTGTAAAAGAAGAAAACCAAATCTAAAAGTAAGTCAATAAACAACACTTAATTTGCTAACAATATAGGCTAGCAGGTGAGATTTCATTGAGATAATAGAAGCTGGAAACCCAAATGAACATGGGTTTTCTTTTTTCTTTTTTCAAACAATTTCTATTCATAAAAATGATTAAGATTTTATGGGTCTTCTTGTTAAAACAATATCTTGAAATCATCATAAGTAGGATTGAGATCTCCACAGAAGAGTGGGAATTGCATGATTCCAGTGTTTCATTTCGGATGGGGTGACTGCAATTTGTAACGATTTAGGAAGTGTTAATTCTATTAACTATTTGATTTTCTTCTTTTTATTTATTTGTTTTTGTTTTCATTTGTTAATGAACTGATTGCTCGGTGTAATTGGGTAATAGAGCTACAGAATTTTTGGGATTGTGAAGGTGAATTAATGGAGGTGCGGGGGGGGGGGGGTGGGGGGGGGTTGGGTGGTAGAAGATGGCAGCATAGAAGTGGAAATAACAAGAGATAGAGAGTAGAGGGGAGGAGTGAAGTGAAGTAAAAATAAAATAAAAAATAGAGTAGAAAATTTTGAAATAAAGTGACAAAATAATGATATGGCATAAAAAATCTGAGGTGGACATGGATATGTCATCCACATTGGATCGTTGAAGAGCACGCGAGGTCGAAAGGGTTTAAAAGAGTCATTTTGAACGAGTAGAGGTGTGTGGATAAAACTTTGTTGAGTATAGGGACCGGGATGTCAAACCGAAATAAGCACAGGTATCTCCTAGGCTACTCTGCCTTTTTAACAATGTATTTGCACATAGAATCTTTTAGTTTTTCAAAATAAAATTCATATATTTAAAAATTTCATAAAAAGTACCTCCTCTGTTCTAATTTATGTGTCTTAGTTACTATTTGGGGAGTTTACGAGGTTCATATTTGGCCTTGGTTTTCTTTAGTATTTTATAAAAATACTTGAAATATAAATTATTATGACTTATAATACTTTTTATGTAGTTTTCAAATAAGTAAATTTTATTTTTATAAATCTGAACAATCTATGTCCAATTTCACGGTCAAAATTAAGAACCTTGACCCTCGTACTCTGTCAAGCCATATTATTGAGGTTAGAATCGGATGTTTAAGTTAAATTATTTGGAAATTTAAAAAGGGCCCATTCTTTTTGAAACAGATAAAAAAAAAAATAAGTTTACATAAACTAAAACATAACAAGGGAGTAATTATTTCAAATATTTAAAAGATTTAATTATGAAAATATTAAAAATTCTTTTGACTCTCGAAATTTGCTAATGCGAGAGTATTACCTTTTCGGCGACGGTAAGCATAAATTTGTATGTGCGAAAAGTAAAATACGAGTAGATAGGTCATAGGAGTATATCTTAGGAAACTTCCCAATTTGAGTAGGTTTTCCCGTGAGGAGTTACCTGCAAGCAAAAGAAAAGATTTCGATGCAGAGAAAGAGAGAAGAAGCTAACTGCACTGCGGTGCGGCTTTTCTTGTGGAACGAGAAGTTGACAAAGAATCAGATATCACAATCCGAAGGTTTATGCGTTTGTATAACATTAAATGGCACCCTCCTCCAACAAACTTTTATAAATTAAACTGCGATGGAGCTGCGAAATTGCAATCACATCGCAGGGGCTTCGGTGGAGTAATCAGAGACTCACTAGGTTCATGGATCATCGGCTATACGGGCTCATGTTTCACGTCTTCTAGTATCCACACTGATCTTCTTGGACTCCTGCATGGACTTAAAATCGCCTTTCTTCAGGGAATTAAGCCACTGGAAATTAACATAGACGCTCAGGCAGTACTCTCTCTCGTACAACACAATTCTCATCCTTTATTTACTAATCTACTTATGGATTGCAGGTACCTTCTGCGACAGCTGGATGATCCCATCATACAACACACGTACAGGGAGCAAAATAGGGTGGCTGATATACTCGCAAATTTTGGATGCAACATGGACAGCTCTGAAGACTTCCTTACTTACACAACGCCGCCATCTGCAGTATTAATGGCTTTGGAAGAAGATCGGCTAGGAATGCTTTTTGTTAGAAACATAGTACCTACTACTGACTATGTCTTGCGTCAACTGACATATCATTTTGTACAAATCATCCAAGGGAATTAGATAGTTCTAGCTCCACCCCCTCCCCACTTTTTGTAACGACCCACCACAAGGTCGTCCCCGTAGTTCTTTTACTCTAGAAGGCCAGTGTTGTCCTGTGCCTCGTTTAACCTTAGCTCCTTGTACTATACCACCATAATTTTAATATAAATAGTTTCTTTTGGACCAAAAAAAAGTACATACGTTAGGGTTTCATGGTCTCATGATTCTACTTTTTTTTTTATGGTTGCCTGGGGGTGTTGTATTAGAAAAAATAGAGTTTGATGATACAACACAAGGGTAGAGACAACTCTTCAAAAGAAATTGAGGCATAGGTGATTATAAATAGTTCGCCCCCTCATGAAGATTACAAAGCTAGCTAACAAAAAAATTGGCCTTGTCATATTTGTTCCTTATGGAAGGAACCTGATCTTTGTCCAGCAAAAAATGGCCTTTTGCCTGACTAGGCAACTGTTGGTTAGAATAGAAGTAAGCTGGCTGTTGAATGTTAACTGTCATTTTAGCCAAGCAGTCCGCTCCTTGATTGGCCTCTCTATAGCATTGGCTAATCTGAATATTGAAGGTGTTGATAGCCTCTCTGATCTTGTTGATTATTTGACTAAACTTGTAGCTGGTTGCGCTTTCTTTACGGAGGATCTCTACAATGTAGAGAGAGTCCAATTCAAGAGTGGCTTGAGTGAAACCATTTTGTATGCACCAGTTAGTACCAATCCAAGTTGCTTGAGCCTCTGCGATGTTGTGGTTTTCAGCATTGTATGGAATCGAGAAAGCCATGATAGTATCCCCCTGGTCATCTCTGATGACTCCTCCTAGCCCTGCCTTTTCATCCCCTTATAGAAAACTCCCATAAGTGTTTATCTTGACCCATTCCCTATTCGGCTTTTTTCAGAGAACGACCATGCTTTTATGCACAGGATGAAGCCTTGTTAGGAGGTCACAGAAGCCGTTAAACGAAAGTTTAAGATGACATTTTGGAAAAGCTTCGTTCACTGCAGTCTCAATACTCCAAGCTATTTGTTGATGTAATTTGTAAATGTTGAAGTTTTTTTTTTATCTCCATACCTGCACACACAAAATTCTTTCCAAAGAAACCAGCAGATAATGATGGGTGTAATATTTAAAACAAGTCTGTGGACATCATTGGTAGCCTTAGAAGCCCACCATTTATTAAGCATATATCTAATCGGGTAGGGGTGGTATTCTATGCCAAGAGCTTTTCCAAAAAGTTTCCAAGTGTAAATGGCATCTTGACCCTCTACAAATACATGGTTTATGTTATTTGTAGTTGGATTTTTGCAACAGTTACATCTGGAAACAATTTGTCTACCAAAATTAATAATCACATCATCAAAAGGATGTTTAGCATACCAGAGCCTCCAAGCCAGGAAAGACATTTTAAAAGGGATAGTAGAGTTCCATACCTTGTTGATGAATAGCTTTCCTTACCAAACTCCATGAACTTCTATTTGTGAACTTGCCATTTTCTGAAATTTCCCAGAAAACTTGATCCTCCTTGGATTGATTGCCTATATAAATGTTTGATGTGGTGTACCAAATGATCTGGTAAGAATTCCTTAAGTTTGTTGATGTTCCATTGACCATCAAATATGAATTCTCCAACCAAGATTTTGGCACTTTTTGGAGTATCAGGAACCGGCGTAGCCAAAGGTCCCTTAAGAGACCAATTATCCCACCAGAAGCTACTTGATCCTGAATTTACCTGCCAAACAATATGATTCTCTGCAATATTCCTAATTTTTAGAACATGATTACAAGCATGAGAATTACCTGGAGCCAATTCATTTGAGACCAAGTGGGATCTCACACAGTATTTGTTACTAATGAATCTAGCCCAAAGAGATGATGTGGATCTTATCCTCCACCACCTTTTCATAGCTAACATATTATTAATATCTTCCAATTTCCTAAAACCTTTGCCTCCTTCATCAATAGGGAGGGAAAGATGGTTCCAGGAACTCCAATGATACCTCTTGTGATCCTCTGAGGTACCCCAGAAAAAATTGGCAAAATATTTCTCAATTAGTCTAAAAACTCCTTTAGGGGGGGTCATAGCAGAGAGAGTGTAGACAGGGATAAATTGGAGGACACTTTTAATCAAAGTAGCCTTACCACCATGAGAGAGCAACTTGCCTTGCCGACCATTTAGCCTTTTAACAATCTTACTAATCATGTTATCAAAAAAATCTATTTTTTTTCTTCCCACTTACAGGGGACATCTTAGGTAAGTAAAAGGAAAGGTCTTGTCCATAAAGCCAGAACACTTTCTAATCCTGTTAATTCTAGTTGCAACAGTATTAGGAGCAGTCAAGAAATAGCTTTTATCCCTATTAACCTGTTGACCTGAGCTTCTTTCATAACTACTAATAATCTTCATGACCAATTTAATAGAAGTAGATCCACCACTACAGAATATAACAATGTCATCAGCATAAGCTAGGTGGCTGATCCTGGGAACATTAGGAGACATAGAGAAAGGAATGAAATTAGGATTTCTATAGAGAGAGTTAAGAGATCTTGATAAGACCTCAGGAGCAATTATGAAGAGAGTTGGGGAGAGAGAATCCCCTTGCTTAAGCCCTTGAGAAGAAGAGAAGAAGCCATATCTCATTCCATTTATTATAATAGAGTACCACACATTAGAGATGAGATTATGAACCAGACCAATCCAATTTTCTGAAAAGCCAAATTTCCTAAAGACAGCATAGATAAAATCCCAAGCCATTCTATCATAAGCCTTAGCCATGTCAAGTTTAATAACAACATTTCCACCATTATTTTTATGAGTAATATTGTGAACAATTTCTTGGGCTAACAGAACATTCTCAGAAATTAGCCTATATTTAACAAAATCACTTTGATTCAAGGAGACTAATTTATGCAACAAGGTGTTTACTCTAAGAGAATTTTTTTTGAAATAATCTTATTAGTAAAATTAGATAAACTAATAGGTCTAAAGTTAGCAAAAGTAGCAGGATTGTCAATTTTAGGAATTAAAACTAGACAAGTATGAGAGTAGAATATGGTCAAACCTTTTCCTTTGAAGAACTCTTTCACAAAAGCAATGACTCCCCTCTTGATTATGTCCCAGCAATTCTGAAAGAAGGTGCCATTGAAGCTACTAAAAACTGCATCCTTGATTTTATTGTCCTCTGGAATTTTGCTGAGCATGTCGTTGTCCTCACTTGAGATACAATGAGGATTACAATCCAGAATAGAATTGTTGATCGTAGGAGGAGTAAGGTTGAAGATTGTTTGAAAGTGCCTAACAACTTTCTTGGCTATCTTCTCATCTCCCTTGATCCATTTTCCTTTACTGTTTTTGATGTGATTGATCTATTGCCTTCTTCTTTTCTCTCTGAGGATAGAGTGAAAGTATCTGGTATTCTTTTCCCCTTCTTCGAACCACTGTAACTGATATTTTTGTCTGAGCATGGATTCTTGAAGACTGAGCCATCTAACATATTGAGCATGAGCCTTGTTGTCATATTCTCTACTTTTTTCCGAATTATTTTCAATATCTATGTCCTCTAACTCTTGGAGTTTGTCCTCCCAATTAATAACAGCTTCATTGATATCCCCAATTTTATTCCTAGACCATTAAGATAGCCTTTTACTAAGAGTCTTGAGCTTGTTCTGAAGAATCCACATACGAATTCCCAGACACTTCTGTATTCCAGGCCTCCTTGATAATGTCATGAAAGCCTTCTATGTTTACCCAGCAATTCAGAAATCTAAAATAATTAATATGTTGTTGATTACCAACCAAGTTCTTCATAAGAAGAGGTCTGCGATCTGAACTCGTCCTTGCAAGATGCCTAACAGAACATCTTTGAAACAGTTGATCCCAGAGGTCATTAACAAAAATTCTGTCTAATCTTTTCCAAATCCTCTTTGCAGGTTTTCTGTTATTACATCAAGTGTAATTAGATCCATTGTAACCAATATCAATGAGACCATAGTTGTTGATACAAGTTTGGAACTCCAAGCTTCTATACATTCTGTGAGGCTTACCCCCAAGTTTTTCATTAGGATCCATTATAATATTGAAATCCCCCCCTATGCACCAAGGAACATCAGTCACCATATTGTCCTGTTCAAGAGACTGTCATAGGTCCCTCTTGTCTTTTGATTTGCATTTAGCATAAACGGCAGTAATGCAAATATCCTGCATACCAATAGCATTATAGATCTTGATAGTAATGTGTTGATCACTGGAAGCAGTAACCTTGGTGGAGTTGAAAGCATTCCAAAAATACCAAATTTGACCATTGTTGTTGAAACAACAGTGTTGAAATCCTTAAAATTTCCTATAGCCATCTAAATTTTCTTTTTGAAACAAAAGGTTCAAAGATAGCCACGTATTGAGTGTTATTGAGGTTGATTAGTTTCTTTAGCCTGTGAATGACTTTTTTGAATCTAACTCCCCTAATGTTCCAAAATAGAGCACTAATCATTGAGACAATTTGGGGGGGTTGTCCTCTTTATGATTCCTTTTCACTGAATCTTTTGCCACTTTTTCTGGTTTCACTTCTCCCTCTCCTTGTATTTTGTTGTTAGTCATCAGTATGAATGTGAGAAACTTGATCTTCCTTTCTCAATTCCTGCTGATTGCTCAATTGCTCAGCTTCTTGAAAACTATCTGAGCTATCATTCTCTTGATTAGTGTTGTTGCAATCTTCCTTGTTCTCATATAAGTCCACGACCAATTGAAGTCCTGGCTGTTTCCTTATCTCCGTAGGGACAGTAGAAGAGCTATACTCACAACACTGATCCAGCTTTTCTATCCCCTCAATTCTGTTCTCTTGACTAGCTTGTCTAAGACCATTTTACATTTGTTTATCCTTTCCCAAATCCAGCTCATTGGCTTCAAAAAAGGTTTCATTGTTGTTATTCTCCTCACTCTGATCCTTCTGAAAGGTTTTGTCTTTTGTATCAAGGCTTAGGATACTTTCTTCTATGGATTTCTTTGAGAAATCATTTTGTTTTGCTGCATAATCAGACTTGTCTCTTCTTTTGCTGTTGGCCGGTTTAAATAACACTTTGCTCTTCTTTTTTGGCATATTCTTAGTCTTCTTTTTCTTGGTCTTCTTCCTGCTATTTTTTTTGGATTTTGAGTTTGTCATCTTCAATTTGTTGATTTTGAGTGGACTCTGAATTCAGAAGTTTTTGGACTTCTTCATTACTGTTGTTTGCTAGAATGCTTCCCTCTTGCCCTGTGAATAGGTTAGGGTCATTATCCTGATTCTGAACTTCTTATTCTTCTTTGTTTTCAGCTTTCTTTTTTTCAAGAGCCCTACAATTGACCATCTAATGACCAATTTTCCTACAATGTTTGCAATATTTTGGGACCCCTTCATATTCCAACTTTTGAGTGTAACCTTTGAGAGGTGAATCCTCATACTCTTGTCCAACAAAAACACTTTGAGGTAGTGGCTTCAGCAAATCCACTTCTACTCGGATTTTAGCCATGCTTGGCCTTGTTCTATTCATAGTTGCAGCATCCAAAGCTAGAGGAGTACCGACTGAGCTTAGAAGTTGTTTTATGTAGTCAATCATGCATATGGAAGGGCAAACCGGGCAAAAGAACCCAAGCAGGGGCCACCGTAAGATCCTCCTCTGGTTTGAAATCTGGAGACCATTTTTGCAACCACATTTGCATTCCGTCAATTTCAATGACTCGCCGGAACCACACAGTTTTCCAATCCTCGTCATTGAATAGATCAATAGAAACATTGTGATTATCAAAAACCCCAATTCTTACTGATTCTTTTAGAGGAATAATTTATTTAAATCTAGACCTAATTTTGTCAATTTAGGGACGGGGTCTAAGAAATCGACCCACAATCGTAAATTTGTAATCCCATAGTAATCAGAAGCTTTGAAAATGACAGCAGGCATACCATTGTGAGTTGTGTGTCTAGCTTTCACCTTCTCTTTCTCTTGTTTGAAATCAACCGGAGATGAGCTTGATGGAGATAAAATTTTATCTGCATATGAGTGTTTTCCTAGGGGATTTCCTTGCATGTGAGAAATCTCCCCTTTAGACTGATTTTGCTCGTCCAGACGCTCCAGTTGGAGGCCTCCCGGCGGGTTCATCTGGTAGAGCGTGGTCAGAACTCGCTTAAAAAATAGAGCCGTTAGAGAAGAGACGTTGAGGAGAGAGAAGAGAGAGTACCAATAACTATTCTTTAATCTCTTTTTTCACAAAGAAAGGTCTCATGATTCTACTTACGGCAACATAATTGGGGATCGGGACTCTTGCACTGTCATCCCCTTTGATCTTTCAAAGCTACTTAACAAAGATGCATCATTAACTTCCATGATTGTATCTGCTACTCTTCAATTTTTGCCCCCGACACTATCAAACACTTGGCGAATAATATCTCTAATTACCTTTTCACAAAGTTTCAGTATACTCAAGCTTTTCTACAATCACCACCACGACCTACATACGTAATTGCCCTTGAAATCTCTCACGTTCGCTTTGTCAATTCGACGAATCCCACAGAGTTGCCTCCCCCTGTCCCGTCTTTTTGTCGGTTTAAAAAAGACTGGGACGAGAAAAAGGAGATTTTTGTGAGGGCTACTAATTACGTAAAGGATCCATATTATCGCTATTCTAATGACGTTCTCGAGTATCTTCAAGCCTAAAGGAAATATACGGGTGAAGGTGGGACTTGCCCTACGAAACTACCCATTGCGGCGGATGTGGGAAGAGGTTATTTTGAAGTGAAGCCAACTCTAAGATCTTGGTGTCCAAGTCTAGCTATTAGACTTAGAGGGTGTTCGGCTAAGCTTATAAGCTGGTCAAACTGGCTTATAAGTACTTTTTGGCTTATCTACGCGTTTGGTAAGTTTAAAAGTGCTAATAAGTTAAGTGCTTATAAGCCAAAAATAAGCTAAAAGCCATAAGTTGGTCTCCCCCAACTTATCAAATTTAAGCTTATAAGCACTTTAAATTTGACCAAAATATTTACTATTCTATCCCTAAAATACTTCTTTTTAAAACAAAAACTCTTCGTATACCTAGTTCTTTAGCTGCATATTATTAATTTCAGTACTTTTATCCAAACACGTAACTACTTATTTTTTAAATCAGCTTCAGCACTTAAAAATATTTTTCAGCACCTAATGCTTATCAGATACTCTAAATCAGCTAAGCCAAACGGA